AAAAGAAGTGATGTTTTTGTGATTGATAATATCAATGTTAGTCAAAAATTCAAATTGGATAAAAATATTTGAGTAATTTTTATCAAATAATCGAGTGACTTTTGAGTTATAGATTAAAAAAGAAGTGATGTTTTTGTGATTGATAATATCAATGTTAGTCAAAAATTCAAATTGGATAAAAAATATGGTGCACCAGCCGGGAATCGAACCCGGGTCTGTACCGTGGCAGGGTACTATTCTACCACTAGACCACTGGTGCAATTTATTCAATGAACTCGTTCAATATATGTAGTGCAAAATGTACAACTCCAAATGAAATTGAAAAACAAGAAAACAGATTTTGTGGTTGAGTACTTGTGTGCTATTACTTTATTAATAAAGTAATACTGGGCAACTATGTTGCTCGGACTCCACAAAAAAGAAGATTTATGGGTACTTGTCGTATCCTTCAAAAGTAGTACATTTTTGGAGGGTTCGACACGAGTGCAATAACATTTTTGGAGAGTTCGAATAACATAGCTAGACAATATGTTTGATTTTTTATTATATGACTAAAGCATGACAATATATTAATTAGTTGATGTATGAAGTAAATGTTGGTTCGTCTTCAAGATTTATGCATCTCCATTTGAATGATACATTAAATTTATCTCTATTTCATCGGTAGCTAGTGATGGAACTATTTGTGTTTTGTGCATTGTATTATGAGCAGCTTTACATCATAGGAGGAGACGGTACAATGCGTGGAGCAGTTGAGATATTCGAGGAATTGAAACAAAGAAAATTGTATATATCAGTGGTCGGAATCCCTAAGACAGTTGACAATGATGTTGGCATTATCGACAGATCATTCGGGTTCCAAACTGCAGTAGAGATGGCACAACAAGCGATTAATGCCGCTCATGTAGAAGCAGAGAGTGCAGTAAATGGGATAGGGCTGGTGAAGCTTATGGGCCGCAGTACTGGTCATATTGCACTACATGCAACATTAAGTAGCCGTGATGTCGATTGTTGTTTGATTCCCGAGATCGACTTCTACTTGGAAGGTAATTTTAAAACTGTGTAACCGTCTCATTTTACATATGTACACGTAAACCTAGGATTTTTTGCCTGTTCTGAATATAATGTCGAATTGTGTGATGATCTCATATGTATACGCACACATTTATATTAATACTTGGATGGCAATGGATTGAACCTACGGAGCTTTTGCTTGCTCTAATAGTATGTTGAATCGTCTGACCAATCTTAGCACATTTCTTAGGAGTTAACTATGCTATGCCTCAATAGGTATTAACATGTTGAATCGCGTAACCAGTTTAAGACTATAAGTGCATTTTAAGTAGTTAATTATATTATGTCTCGACAGGTAAGGGAGGGCTATTCGAATTTCTCGAAGATCGATTGAAGGAGATGGGGCATGCAGTGTTGGTAGTAGCCGAGGGTGCAGGACAGGATATAATTCCTAGGACTGAATCCCAGAAAACAGAAAAGGACGAGTCGGGCAACCCTGTTTTCTTGGACGTTGGAGGGTGGCTGAAGTCCGAACTCAAGAATTGGTGGAGCAGGGATCATCCGAACGAGTTGTTCACGATAAAATACATAGATCCTACGTACATGATACGCGCTGTACCTCCAAACGCAACAGATAATTCGTACTGCACGTTGTTGGCGCACTCTGCCATTCACGGAGTTATGGCAGGGTACACCGGGTTTGTTTGTGGGCCGATAAATGGGAACTATGCATATATTCCAGTTGATGAAATTGCCAAAGCAAAGAACAAAGTGGATACCAGAGATCATAAATGGTCTTGGGTTAGATCTGTTAGCAATCAGCCTGATTTCATCAGAAGTTAAAAGCTTTTGAATGATCTACTTTGGCACTCTCTTTGTCCCCCGTGACGACGGTGGTGTCTGGTTAACTTTGTGCGCATTTCAATTATTTCATCTAATATTTGTGATGCATCATATCACATATCGGGTAATTATCTTATATCAAGACTTAAAAACAAATAGGAGGAAGGAGGAAACCACATATTAGTGGTGGTTGTCCCTGTTGAGATTTGAACCTTGATCTTCTAAGGTTTACGCCTTTCGTCACTTTTTTTCGGGTCGGGTTTCTTTGTATATATGTAACTAAAAAAATAAACAAGGTGCATTAGTGTAAAATGTATGATAATAATCTCTTGATGCTTAAACCATTAAGCAAGTAAGCTATCATTAATTATTTCTTTAATCCTCCCCTTCTCTCTTTTTAAGAGTTCTTTTAGTTGGGGTTGGTGGCTTGTGGGATGCTTTGATATGATAATTAATTTTGTCAATGTTCATGGGACGATTTCCCAATGCAATTTTGAATTTAGCTTGGTTTCAACGTGAGTATTAAGTCGGGTATTAATGTGAGTATTTGAATGCGAATATCTGACGTAGTCGGGTTTTAACGTGAGTATCTAATTGATTATTACATTATGATTATTAATTTTGTCAATGTTCATAAGAATGATTTCCCAATGCAATTTTGAATTTAATGTGTATTTGAATGCGAATATATGACGTAGTCGGGTTTTAACATGAATATTTAATTGATTATTACATACTCCACTAAACTGTACAAATAGTGTAATTTTTTTCTACATTATTAGCATATAACAAAAATATCATTGATTGATTTTACTTTCTTTTTTTTAAAGTTAAAAAGGATGGTTTGTTTCTCTTTTTTACGTTATCTTCATATCACATGGACAATATTTTACGTTAGCTTTGGACAGAGAAATATTTCCCAAAGTCCTAAAGGAAAAAAAAAAGGTTTGATACTATAATTATAGTAGAATATTAGTGGTTATGATTAATTGTAATTTAATAACAAAACAAACCAAACATCCATTTTGTAAAATTAATTAATTTAAGCATATACGACACGGGCTTCTCTCATTGGGCTCCATGTGAGAGAGTGGGTGATGCATCTCGGTTCTCGATAAGGCTGTGACCTGTCCAATGGGATGAGACGGGAAGGGGAGACGAATTTATTAATCCGGTCTCATCCCACTAATTTTATGAGACGAGGTATCTCGTCTCAATGATCAATTTTAATTTTTGATATGCGTTGTTATTAAAAAGTGTAGTGAGATGTTATTATTAAAAAGTATAGTGAGATGAATACGATCGCTTCTTTTCAGCAAAGGATTCCAAATAACTCTTATCAATAAAGAATATTTTGTTCTTTAATATTTTTATGTCATATGAATTTAAATTGATAATATTATTTCATTACACATATCAGAAGATAATAAATTAAATATCATATATAAAATAATTAAATAAAGTGGTGAGATGAATGTGAAAGTCGATTATCACGGTTTAGTATTGGGTATGCATTACTATTTATTATTAAGAAGCGTGAAAATAGATGTGATTTTCTTATTCTGAATCGAAATGCATTGTTAAAAGGACCGTAATGAAATGAATGTTATCTCATTGTTCTTGATCAAAAGTTTTAAATTTGAATTTTAAATAATTCTTTTAATCGACATTATTTTTTCTTTAATAATCTTATACGATGTGAGTATGAATTAATCACACTAATGAACATCATATACTAAATAATTAATGGGGAAACTTACATAAATATACTATAAATAAAAAATATTTACCATTTATAGCAATAATATTTTTTTCACTTGATCACTTTTAATACATTTATAATATAGTTTTAATACATATTACAAATAATAATTTATTATTCACTTATAATACAAGTTTTATTGATAGATAATACATTTATCACACATTTTAATACACTTATAATATAATGTGTCAACTTCTTACCAAACAAGCATAATATATTTTTAAAAGCAGTTATAATACATATATATTGCATACTTAATTCACTTTTAATACATATTACAGATTTAACATAGTATTGCTATAAATAGTAATAAATAAAAAGTATCGCTATAATCAATAATTATTTATTAAAAGACACCCACTCAAATAATATTTCCATAATGAAAGGGAATCAAATTAATAGCGAAAGTGTTTTTTTTTAATCTAAATTTAATAAGCAAGGAAAAGGAAACTCCAACTATCAACTCTCACATTACACCTCAACCATGGCTATTATGACTACTACCTAACAACTCCTAGCTTTAATTTATCAATAGCTTGTTATTTTTTTAATAATTTCTTTCGATGTTCAGTATTTATTTGAAGTTTGATTAATTTAAATTGATACTAAAAAATTTCACGTAAAAAGTACTCTTACTATGTTCTCTATCAAAAATAATTTTATAATTATGACTCAAACTCGAGATAATGGTCAAGTACTTACCGACTTAAATGTGGACACCGGGACTTATGACAAGGTACCATATTGACTGTATCCAAATTTACACGAGACAAACGTTTGTGTATTTTGACGGCTTTTATTCGTAATATAATTTTAATTTTCTTTATAATAAATTAAGAAATTTAAAGTTAATATATTTATCTTTGAATTTGATAAAAGATACAACTCAACCTTGATATATAAAGTTACTCGATATTTGTAAGATTTTAATCTGAAAAAAGAGATAACTCGATATTACATCGGTAAGATTTGAAAGGTAACAATAACAACAATAGTCAATAACATATCAGTTTAATTTCATGACAAAGTTTAGAAAAAGTAAAATATACATAAATTTATATTTCAAAGAAAATTATTTATGACAAATCTTTGATTCAAGTAAAATATTTGAGAAAAGATAACTAATAAGGATAACATTAGGTAACATTTAGAAAAGAAAATAATAGATAATCAAAACCCAAAAATCAAAGATGATAATAAAAATTGAAGAACAAGAAGTTATACACTAATATGATATCAAGGCAAATATGAACACCCTGATAAGAAATGATTCTAATTTTAGAATAGTGAACGAGTAAAAGTGATCAGTCAAAAATATTTCTGGCCCCTCCAATGCCACTACAGTTTGCTTTTCAGCTCCTGCTGCTACTGAGATAAACCGACATTATACTGATTACAGCAATAATCTCCTGCTTAATATTATACCCATAAACAAGTATTATAAAGAATCCAACTTTCTTGTTGAAAAAGAAGAAAAGATTCTGCCTTTCTGTAAACTCCTCTAAAAAAATCTCACCAAGACTAGTTGATGAACAATAGTTTCTTAGCTGGTACATGGGTTTCAAGAAAATGGCTTTAATCACTCATTTACCCAAACAAGAACAGACCTTTTTTAGTTTTCTAGCTGTATCAGTGTTATTGTTCTTATGTTGGGGTGTTATTGAGGTGGAATCTGGTATTGGGGTTAACTGGGGCACTATATCTTTGCACAAAATGTCACCTTTTACTGTTGTGGATCTTCTTAAACAAAACAAGATTCAGAAAGTGAAGCTTTTTGATGCAGATCCAGCTGTGATGAAGGGTTTAATGGGGAGTGGGCTTGAAGTTATGGTTGGGATACCAAATGATATGTTGGCTGGTCTTAGTTCTTCTACTTCTGCTGCTGATTTGTGGGTAGCTCAAAATGTTTCAAGATATATGGTTAAAGGAGGTGTTAATATCAAGTAACTTCTAAGTTCTCTTTCTTTTTATGGATTACTTTGTTATTGCACCTGCCTTTTTTAAAAAAAAAGTCATCTTTCTGATTCTTTTAGCTGCTAGTATTTGCTAATCTTAGGAGGATTAGCTGAGATTATGTTTTATATATGTTGACATGAGTTGAGCTTTGTTAGAGTGGGTTAGAATCCCACATTGGTTGGAAAATGGACGGGTGGTAATCCTCCTCTCTTGAGTTAACTTTTGGGGTTGAGTTAGGTGAAGTGTCATATCTTTACATAGTTTCAGAGTTAGGTTCATCCCTGTTTGAGCTCCTAGTTCATGCTCATGTTGGGCCTGGACACGAAAGGGTGTGTTTGGGTGGGTTAGAGTTCCGTATTGATTGGGAAGTAGATTGGTGGTTTGCTTATATGAACTTGAGCAATCTTTCCTCGTGTGCTAACTTCTGGGGTTGAGTTAGACTCAAGTTTACAAGCTTAAAGGGAATATTTAGTGTTCATATAGCCGACCCCAACTTATTTGAGATTGAGGCATAGTTGTTGTTATTGGTATTTTAGATATGTTACTAGGTTTACCTTAGACATATGCTTTCTAGGAGTCTTTTAGCCCTAGTATGAACTTGTATGCCAGTTAAAAACATAAATACCTTCTAGTACTTGTCATTTCTATGTGTATTTTTTATTTGTTAAACATGATTAGTTAGGATTCATGTGGGCTATAGGCGACCGCAACTTATTTGGGACTATGGCATATTTGTCGTTGTACTACTGTACTAGTATTTGCCAATCTTTATGTGTTTTACCTATGTAATGCCGATTCTTGTCTTTACCTCTGTTTTTATGCTATTAGAGGAAATGAAGGGCTTTGATTCTTCAAAAATTTGAACCATAATTGTTCATATACGTGGTTGTTGTGTCTCTGAATTCTTGGATTCTGTCTTTGAAGTTCTTAGAGTGAGCTTTTACAAGATATTTTTGTGTTAGTTCTTGCAATATTCTGTTCAAGTTCCAGGTAGATATTTATATTATGTTACTTTTTGGTATAAAATTGTGTTAAAGATCCATTTTTTGATTCACTCAAAAAACATCTTGTGGCCACATTATTACATTCCATCACCCAATTTGGCTCAACACAATTTCTGTTTATATTAGCAACAGGGGATACATCACCTTGAAATTGAAAGAGATTAGTGATTACAATCACCATATAATAAATGAGGTAGACGACTAGTAGTAATACTATAACCTCCTTTCTCATGACGTTCACCAGTATCATCCAAAGAAAGATATTAAAGTAGCCAAAATTTAAGCCATTTACTGTGTAGTTTTTTATGCTAACACACAGCGTTTCTCAGATAAGGCAAGGCTATTCCCTATCAAAAGCACTTTCAGTAGAAAAATGAATTCCTCTAGATAAGTTCCCCGTCGAGAGAGACAAAGGAGAATTTACTTCGGGGCTTAAGGTAGTTCACTCACCCTCAGGTCATAATAGAGTCTGACATCGGTAGGAAGATAATGCAGCTAAGCCGAGACTTGCTTCTGAGGCATTTCAGACTTTACTTGCTGTCGCTGATATGATTTTTCTCTTGTTTCAGAAGTGGAGTTTGCTGCTATTGTAGATAAGAGTGACATAATTGGTAGAGCGAAATTCAATTCCATAGCTAGTTAAAAAATCGAGGGGTGGAGAACGAAAAAGATCAATACTTGTTTCCGTAATAATAACAAAGCATGTTAGGCAGTGCTGGTATTTCATTTACCTTTAGCTTTAAAGAGTACTAAAGATTGTTGCACCCAAGGGTGTGGCCTAGTAGTAGTCAAATGACATGTTAAGTTGTTTATCGCTTATGCAGAAAACGACACTTGATCACTGCAGCATCCCTTGTCTGAAAATTTCATAGCTATAAAAATACTTTCTTCCTTCTCTTTTTTTTGGTGATTCCAATTTCCAGCATGTACCATGTCATTCTCTTGTTTCTTCTCATTTTCTTTCTCTTTGGCTAATGACAGCTATACATCAACACAGGTATGTTGCAGTTGGTAATGAGCCTTTTCTTACAAGTTATTCTGGTCAGTACCAATCATACGTTGTCCCAGCTATGACGAATTTGCTACAGTCCTTGGCCAAAGCAAATCTTGCTAGGAATGTAAAGCTGGTAGTCCCATGCAATGCCGATGCCTATGAGTCTTCCCTTCCATCACAAGGAACCTTCAGACCCGAATTGACTCCGATCATAACACAGATGGTTTCACTTCTGAACTCAAATGGTTCACCATTCGTGGTAAATATTTATCCATTCCTCAGCCTATATGGAAACTCAGACTTCCCTCAAGATTATGCTTTTTTTGAAGGGACAACACATGCTGTGACCGACGGGCCTAATGTCTACTATAACGCGTTTGATGGAAATTTAGACACTTTAATAGCTGCCCTTGCAAAAATCGGATATGGTCAGATGCCTATAGTTATAGGAGAGGTAGGTTGGCCTACTGATGGAGCCCTCGGTGCTAATCTTACAGCTGCAAGGGTTTTCAACCAAGGCCTAGTGAATCATGTTCTCAGTAACAAAGGAACTCCTCTTAGGCCACAAGTCCCCCCTATGGATGTTTATCTTTTCAGTCTTCTCGATGAAGGTGCAAAAAGTGTGCTCCCGGGTAACTTTGAAAGACACTGGGGGATTTTCTCCTTCGATGGCCAGTCGAAATATCCGTTGAACCTCGGAAATGGTCTATTAAAGAATGCAAAAGATGTTGAGTATCTTCCATATAGGTGGTGTATTGCAAACCCTTTGAAAGATCTTGCTGAAGTAACCAACCACGTTAGACTTGCTTGTAGTTATGCAGATTGCACAACGCTTAACTATGGAGGATCGTGTAACGAAATTGGAGCAAAGGGTAATATATCATATGCATTCAACAGTTACTATCAGCTCCAAAAGCAGAATCCGCGGAGCTGTGATTTTGATGGGCTTGGGATGGTTACTTTCTTGAATCCTTCGATCGGAAAGTGCAGATTTCTTGTTGGGGTTAGTGATTATGCTTCTTCATCAGGTTTTAGGTTGCAGAACAGTTGGATATCAGTGTTATTGATTCTTCTTTGGGATGCTTGGTTATTCTTGATGTGAAAACATGAAAGTATACTACATAGGATAGGTTCTATAGTGATGTTAAAAAGTCATTTCAGAAGAAAAAGTAGCTATGAGTATTTTGTGTGTACAACTTATGTACCAAACTTTGATGATTTATACTCAAGAGTTTAGACATTTATAACTTATATTTAGAAAAGAGTTTTAAGTTATACACGCCTTCGTGTAAAGCATGACTTCTTTCACTATTGTATTTCCTTTTCAAATCTGTTTTGATATGCTTTATTTGAGTTGAGAGTCTATCGGAAATAACCTCTCTACTTTCACTTGGGGTAAGGTGTGTACTCACCACTCTTTCCATACTTCACTTGTGAGATTACAGTGAGAATGTTGTTGTTATTAACATTACTCGTGGTTGTTCATATGAAGTTTTCCATCCCAAGGGTAAGTAGATTATTTTTTTCCTTCGGATTTTAGAACTAACTATTCGGAGTAATATCTATCAATCATACCATACTTGGAGAAAAATTTATCTTTTCTATGTGAAAACTCCATATTTGTTGAGGGCATATGTAGCACCATTGGATGTAGGAGCATCAACTCCGTTCTCGTGGCCTTTTGAGGAGCGGCAGAAACTGGTGGAATTCTATGGACAATATTCTTATTATTATTAGCTGGTTGGGTTGTTAGTTTGTTACACATTATTTATTCAAATTTTAAAGTCAGATGTGACATTTTATCCAACAAAATTATCTTCAATCAACAATATGATAATTTTGTCAAACTAAAATAACTGAGAAAATTGGACAGAAACATAAACTAAGACAAAAACTGATTTTGTAACAATGAAGGGCCGAAACTCTTTCAATCTTCTGACTGAAAGCTTTTGCATTAGCACAAGAATAAGGCTACATTCAAGTTTTTGTTACCATTTTTCTGCATAATCTAAGAACTACGAAACTCGCTAAATATTTGACTTCAACTCAGCTACTAGAACATATTAATTTGAGATCATAATAGAAACCGACAAACTTCAAATTCTGGATCCGCCTCTGGCTGGGTTGCGAACATAGGAACACCTACTATTTTTTTTTTGTTTCTTGGTAGGACAATCAGAGGGCATCTTCCTTTTGGGAATCAGCCAGCTAACAGGTTGACACTGAAGCACTGAAAATCCTAGCTAATAACTAGACGAAAGAAAGACAGAAGACAGAAGAAGAAAGACGACGACAGTTGCTGGCTGCTCAACTGTTGGGCATGGCCTTCAGTAACACATGCAGAACCCTCTGGACGAGTACCTGCATTTAGCATAAATGACAGCTGTAAGTGAATTGTCTTGGAATAAAATCATCTTCGTGCAGTTGGAAGTCTTGTTTGAATGATATAAGATCAAAACTAGAATAATGACATTACCATAGAATGCTCCTCTTGAGCCATTTATGCTGCCTTTCTAAGTTTGGCTAGTTCAGCCAAGACATTCTCGAGGGGAACTCTCAGCTTGCTCTTTTTATTCTGCAATTTTTTGCAGCAGCGACAGACCACATTTTAATACAATGCTAAATACACAAATTAATTAAAGTGATATAGATAGAGCACAACATTCATACAGTACTTGCCAAGAACCTCAAAAGAGATGGCAATTAATGCTGTCCAACACCTAAGAAATGGCAGTGAAACCAATGACGCAACCATTCTACACAAGCTCGACACTGGAAACAGATTTGAAAACAAAAGCAATAATTCCTTTTCCTCTTCTTCTTTTTGTTGCGTGGGGTTGTGGATAAGTTAAACTAACAGCAGTAGTCGTTCCACTAATATATTAGCTCTTTGTGCAGAAATGAGCATATACCATCTTCATCATCGAAGGAAACAATTTAAGAAACAAATCTAGCTTCCTCCCATCTTTTGTTAGTATGAACATAGAAGGTTATTTCAAAAATTTATTATAGCTTTTATGGTCCTGTCTAGTCAAACTTAAAATTCACTTAATAGCAGCAGTTGGAAGCAACCTCAATACCCAAATGTATTCATTATTATCTGTCAAATCTGAAAATTTGGGAGGATGGACTCTTGATATGCCAGATTGGCACTGGCAAAGCTTTGTGTAGCATGTCATTAGAACAAAATCAATATCCAGAATAGTACAGTCCATACCTTAAATGAGGGAACAAGAGCAAACACTTCATCAACAGATTCCAAGGGAAAGTTGGCAATCATGCAAAGCTGCATCCATACAACAATGAAATATGAAAACATTGCCTCACATGTAAAAGATCAAAGTATAAACAGGTCGAAATTCAATACCTCCCCATCAGAAACGCCGTGCTGTTTTAGAGGCCTGATCTGAGTTAAGTGAAAACCAGCACTAGAAAATTTTCAAGAGACAATTATAACAAGCCATACAAAAGTTCTCTTTTTTTTAATAATAAAAGGTCAAGGATACTCGAGTATTTGTTTAACAGCCTGGGGATTATCATAAAGCCTGTTCCTTTGAGCATATGCCAATCCCCTGTCAAATGAACTGGTAGCAAACAAAGTCAAACCCAAGACAACTTAACTCTCATCACTTGTCTTCCACAAGAAGGAAGCAACAGAGACGAGAAAAGTGGATATATTCATGACAAGAAAATTGTTAGAAAGTCAAGCATGCACTCCCTTACACAGGTAGTTTTATAGCTGGATCATCAGACAATACCACCATGTTCTCTTGGATTCCTTGCAAAATATCAGCAGCTTCACAATCCATCAGGCATGTTGTATTGGCTGGAAGTTCTGAATATAAATCAAGAAATTCTTAGAATGAAAATTAGAACAGAATTGACACTAAGTAGTCTACTTATATTGTAAGGCATTTACTACTTGATTTACCAACAGCAAGAGACAGATGATCATCAAATGCCTCAGAGACATTTGATTTTCCCACATCAGCATGATCGCCTGATTTGCCCACATCAGCATGATCGCGTTGACGATCGACTGATTTCAATTCACGATATTTATCAATTACTTCTTCTATACTAGTGGAGCCATAGGAATATGGTTTTCCACTAGGTGAAATGAGCAGAACAGCAACATCTGCCCCGGTCAGAGTTGAAAGCTCACCCGCTTTCTCGAACAAGGTTTTTTTCCTTCTCGAGAAAGTAGCAGCGCGTGCTTCCTCTGCTTCCATCAGTTTCATTTCAATCTTTTGCTTACCCTTGCTGGTCCTCTTTTCCATTGCAAAAAAAAGAAGATGTTTTGGCTGAATAAGCCTGAGGAATTTTGAGAGGAACGGTTGAGTAATTTATAGTAGGTGCACGAGTCTTTTTTTCACGTGTATTGTCACATTAATGTAATGTTCTCACATTATGAGTCTATGTCACGTGTACGTCACATTTACTTAATGTTCTCACATTTGAGTCTGTGTCATGTGCACTCTAACGTGGATTGTCACGTTTATTTAATGTTTTCACATTATGACTCTATGTGTCACGTGTATTGTCAGATTTTAGTATTTTCATATAATGTGAATTGTTAGGATCTTTTTGAAAGGATTATTTAATAAAAATTCAGCTTGTTAAAGGGAGGCTGAAACCTTTTACTTCAATGGAAGAGAGAACTCCAATCTCTTCAACTCTTTAAAGGAAGACTGAAACCTTAGAGTTCAATGGAAAATGACAATGCTTTTAATTAGTTTACATATATAAAGTTAACTCGGAAGGGAAGCCTTTAAGCAGTGTAAAGTTATTTAAGTGTGACCTATAGGTCACGGGTTTGAGCCATAGAAGCAAGCACTAATGCTTGCATCAGGGTAGCATGCTTACACCACACCCCTTGGGGGTGCAGTCCTTCCCCGAACCCTGCTAACACGAAATGTTTTGTGCATCAGACTACCTTTTTTTTTTATTCTTTACTATGATTGAAAAGGAAATATGTCAAATAGCTAGTTTTATTTTTCATTTACACATATTTTCTCCTAATATGATTCAAGAAAAAGATCCCGACAACTCCAGCTCAATAAAACCTCAGAAGATGATTCTACACCTCTAATTAGAAACATTTTTTGTTACTTTTTAACTTTTTTTTGAGAAAAGGGTAACTGTGTATTCACAAAAGATGATGATCATAGGTCACTTACAATCTCATCAGAGCATAACAAAACCTACTCCTAGGGAGATTACAAATTGTCTATGAAATCAACAAAAAGTTCTATATCCCCCCTCATATCCTGTTTACACCAAAAATATAAAAGACTAAGGTTATTCATCCTTATTTTCTCAATATTGTTACTCTTACCCTCAAAACATCTAGCATTCCTTTCTTTCCATAAAGTCCACCAAATGCAAGCTGGTATTAACTCCCACCAGTCTTCAGTAGAGCGTCTTCTTCCAGCTCTCTAGCATACCTTTGGTGGTCTGTGGAATTACCCAACATACACCAAGGATGCAAAAAAACATGTTCCATAGATTGGTAGCTACCGCAGTGGAGGAACAGGTGTCTATTGACTTAAGCATCTTGATCACACATAAAACATCTTGAACAAATTTGTCTTCCTTTTTTCTGAAGCACTTCCATGTGTTAGACATGCCCTTCTACACACCAACCAAGCAAAACATGATACCTTTAGAGGTACTTTTATCTTCCAAATTAATTTCCAAGGCCAGATTCTGATTCTACTTGGACCAGCATTGCTACTCCAGTAGCAAGACTTCACTGTGAACACTCCTTTCCTCTGTAATTTCCATATAGGCTTGTCAGGTTCATTGGAGGTGCCTGGGAAGGTATTTAGGATCTATTTAGGATCTGAAATAGAGCAGTGATTCTCCCTATTTTCCAATCATTGAGGGCTCTTCTAAACAAGAAATTCCATCCCTGAGGACTCCACATCTGAGAAACTGTGTCCTGCCATTTCCCACCTTAAGTGAGATGTTATCCTTGAACTGTGGCCATAGTCTTCTAATGGTCTTCCAAACACTACACCCAAAAGTTCCCAGAACCTCCTCAGTAGACCAATGACTCTATGACTCTGTAGTCCATACTTGGCAATGATGACTCTCTTCCATAGTGCTATCTCTTCAGTGCAGAACCTCCATAACCATTTCTGTAGAAGGCAGGAGTTCTGGAGGCTTAGCTTTTTTATATCCAGTCCCCATGCTTCCTATTAGCTTAATTAAGGTTACTGAA